CACTCTAACTGCCCCCAGAGCCTTCTCATCCTCTCCTCAGCCACTGCTGCTGATGTTCCAGGACATCCCAGCTGTCCATCCAGACATTGATCTCAGGACCTTTCCTTCCCTCCCTCTTCTTCCTTCCACTCTCTGCCAGTGTTCTTGGCAACCATTCCTGTTTGGACCACTCTATGCCTGTACATCTGAAACATGCATTTTTAGTTCTGAGCACAGGCCACCCAAAACCAACTATTTCATGCAGAGCAGTTCATGCATGAATGTTTTGCACCAGAGACAAAAGAAGCAAAGTACATCTATAATCACTACTGAACAGGAATCAGAGAAACCACTTAGCCCCACTAGACAGACAACACTCAGAAATCAACTTCACAGAAAAGCTAGAACTACTTTTATTGAGATTGGCTATGATAACAGAATGTTGCTAGTCTGATTGCGCTGTATCTCTTTCCCCTTCTTTGCCTAGGAGCATACAGGTAGTCATTGTTTAGTAACTGTTTGCCATTACGATGGTGATGAAAAAGTAACTTTACAACCAATCCTTGCATTTACAACTTTTGCAGGTCTGTGAAGCAAAGGAAAGCTGAAGTAAGATTATAAGCACAGCTGTGGTTTCACTTAGTGACAACTGATCCTGGTTCCAATTGTGGTCACTAAAGAAGACTACCTGTACTGGAAAATAAGGATGGGTCTTTACAAGTGCAAAGCAGTATAATGGACCTTGCTTTAGACAACTTCAGATACAATGGACAAATTTTGCACTCAGATTCCTCTTCCTTTTAATAGAATGTTCATTGTATGGGGAGTATAACTGTTAGATCAAGGCTTTACTACAAAAGATCCCATTTATACATGGTTATTACATGGTTTTACACATTACTGTACATAAATTGATGCAATCATGTCATGGCAGAATTGATGGACATTTGGATTTAATGAATACCTTGCTTCCTCTGAATGGTCCATTACATAGAGGTTTTACTGCATTATGAAATTTGGAAATGGTTATACTTTCCTTATTTTCAGAGTCATTATTTTATAATATTTTTTTACACCGATAGATGAACAGACCAGATCTCATGAAAATACTCTACAGTGAGAAAGATACAATAACACAACAGTGTGTTTTATGTGAGTCTGCCTTTGAAGATGACTTGGGAAACTTAGTGAACACCAACTAGATAGCACATAATCAATCTTTCTATCACATAAGTTTTGTTCCGAAGGAGCGAATTAGTTGTATTTAATTTTTAACCAGTTAATAAGCTAATGTATAGGTATTTTAAAAAACACTTATTTCAACATAGCACTATAAAAATGTTTCTTCCAGGAATACAAGACAAAGAAAAAAAGGGTTAAACATTAAGAGGAATTCAGAATGGTCTTTGTAAACACAAGCACCTATATAAAGTCAATTTTAAAAGAGAGAAACATACTAGAGATATAAATATTTCTTCTTTATAAGCAAATATTCCAAAGCTTGCTGCCTGCTTGCTCCCATCCCAATAATGCACTCTACAGAAGGATAAGTGCAATTGGTTCCCAACCTATTTGCTTTATTATTACTTATTAATTCAACGTGAAGCAGGCCACTTAGAATTCTGTTGCTAATTTTCCTTACCTGTGCTTTTACTCTTCAGCTGCAAATGAAGAAATAACTCCTTTTGATCTCAGCAAGAGAAAGAAAGAAAGGAAGAATGCTAAAGTAAGGTGCCCGGATCGCTCCCCCGCCCTTCCTTCTTTTAGCCACACCCCCTTAACTGCATATTGTAATTGCCATCCAATCGCCTACTCGAACTCTTCAGCTTCATCTCAGGCTTCCTCGCTGGATTGGTGCAGCTGCCTCAAACCATCAGCTGAGCTGATTTAAGTAGCCATGGCAACTGCCAACCCACAAATACTATGAAAAAGCAGGCGAGTTCTGTGAACTTTTAGTAGTCCTGGTCAAGCAGAGTGTACGGGTTTCTTCTTTTCTCTCTCTTAATAAAAAGGTATCTGTGTCTATCCATCCAGTATAAGCTTTGCATGTATGGGATAAATAGCTACAGAATATATGGGAAACGGTTGCTTTTTTAACAGGAAATTTTTCCAAATGGATCATCGAACAAATTAACCCGAAGTTCTCACTCTGGGCACACATGACCAGGCTCAAATTATCCTATTTCACATACATTATGGGAAAACCCAGCTCTCTAGAGCAGTGTTCCTCAAACTTGGCCATTTTAAGACACGTGGACTTCAACTCCCAGAATTCCCCAGGAGGCATGGCTGGCTGGGGAATTCTGGGAGTTGAAGTCCACATATCTTAAAATGGCCAAGTTTGAGGAACACTGCTCTAGAGCAATTCTAATGCTGGGAAAGATGGAAGGAAAGAGAAGAAAAGGACGATCAGCAGCAAGGTGGATGGCCTCAGTTATAGGGACAATGTGGGCACTGTTGGAAGATCTGAAAGACCAGGCTAGAGACAAATCATCGAGGAGCAAATCTATCAGTGTGGTCACTAAGAGTTGACACCAACTTGACAGCACAGAATCAATTTTTTTTTACAGATGCAAACCTATAGGTCTTACTGAACTTAATGAGATTTATTTTGTACTATATAGCACCATGCTGCCAGGCAGTTAGTAGAAAATGTAGGTCAGATTTTTATTACTTCCAAGGGCAGCAATAGAGAATGATTAAAATGAGTTTAACTCCAAGACTGGTTTCCATTTTGTGAGTTGCTCCATATTTATTCTATCACATTAGGGTTTACGGGCCATTGAATAAATGTATATAGCTAGGATATCCTACAAGGTTTTCTCTGTGCAAATTACAGTTCCTTGTTAAGAAAAGTGGATCTAACTTTCCATATGTTGAAGTTTATCACTGGACATTTATTCTAATTGCAGCTAGTGGCTAGAAAAAGTAACTTCAGAATTTAGTTCCTTTTGGGTCTTAACTCATGAATTCTAATTTTATCTCTTTGAAATTCTGGCGAGTATTGGGATTCCTGTTTGCACATGGGTCAGTTTTGATCCATGCACTTAAGCTGGATCAAAACTGACCCTGTGCAAACAGGAACCCCAAGATATACATGAGAATTGCTGGGTCACATTTGCCCCATTTATCCATAAAAATTTACATTACTGGGATAATCAGTTTCAAAACAGAAATGTCAATTTGCTTAGGCTTCTGATAACATTAATATTTTCTTACTGTTTATTACTTCAAGGGAGCCATTTTTAAAACTTTCACAGAATTAAAAGAAAAATGATTTGCCTCAAATTGTTTCCTGACGGTTTTTATTTCATATACACATTTGTTCTATTTATTTGTCCAAACATTTTGCTGCTTCTGAAGTTACACAATGGATAGATATTTTGGAGAATTTATAGGTGGTTTCTAAACCAGTAACAGTATTTTTTATAGGAAGTTGAAGGATGTTAATGAAATTAATATTAGCTACTTACATGATTGCTTGAATTTTCTGTTTTGATAATCTAATAGAAGATCACTAAAAAATGTCAGATTAGATTCATATAATCTTAAAGTCAAATTAATACACCATCAACAATAAAATTTAAGAATTGTGCATTTTCCAGGGATGAGAGTTAACTAAAAGAATTGTCATATAAAAGAGAAAAATGAAACCTGATTTGTTGATAGGTGTTATTTGTCAACATTTGAATAGTAGGGGCAAAAAAAGATCTCAAGCAATTAGGCCAAATCACCTATCTTGCACTTATTCCTGACTTTATTAGAGAGGAATAAATCTATGGAGTGAAAGCATGAAGCATGGAAACCAACATTTCATGTTGGTGTTTAAGATAACTTCAAGAGGAAAAGTTAAAAGAAATCAGTACATATCTTCAATAGCAGGAAAGCTGATTGTAATGAATTCAGCAAAAGGTGGGTAACATACCAGGGTTTGGATGGGAGATCCTAAATGCACAGGCAGAAGCATGAGATGGAAGAATGGGGAAATCTTGTACAGAGAGGCACTTGAACCTGACGCCGTACGTCAACCATCGTATCACACTAATTCGTGAGATAGCTCTCTAGCTGCGTTTGAACGACTCCCTGGGTAATCGGAGACATACTAAGAGGGGATCGTGGTTGCGCGAGCGAAACGCTCCTTCTGCTAGGAAGCTACTTAAACACTCAATCGGCACCTCCCTTCCTGCTTCTTAATCCAGTATTTCGTGTTTTGCATTTTGGAGTAACCGAGGACGCGTAAGAAGAAGTGCACAGTGGAGGTCAGACTTATTTTAAAAAATACCGCATCTCTCATTACCACTCCCTAACCTGGAGCTCAGTTAGTGTTTGTCAGACACTATTTAAATGAAGGCTTACTTTCACTCCTCACCCCCGCAGTTCCCTCGCCACAGTACTACTGGCACGCGAAACAATGCCTGGCATGCAACCAGCACCCGCTCTATCCTTTGCCATCTCTGTAGTGAACCCTTCGCAATGAGTTCAATTTTCATAGGTTTTTGCAAGGCTGCGCTTTCACCCGGAAGAGGCCCCAGGCGTTGCACTGCATCCCCTCCTCTTTGCGTTGAGCGGAGGAGGAAACTACCGGAAGTAAAAGTTGCTTTCGGGAGAAGTTGTTCCCACCGGCAGGCGGGAGCTCGCCTTTCTTTTTCTCCTGGGCAAGGCAAGCGAGCGGGCGGTGTGCAGCCAACATGGGCAGGACAGTGACCCTGGCCACGTGCGCCCTGAATCAGTGGGCGCTGGATTTTGAGGGCAACCTGGAGAGGATTTTAAAAAGTAAGCCGAAGACTACGGGCTGTTTGCAAAAAGTAGCTCCCAAGAAAAACGGATCTTGTTTTTGTGGAGGTTAACATTCCCCTTCATTAAAATAACAAGAAAGGGTAGCTTACGCTGACTCTTGATGCAGCCTTTGTCCCTTGATTGTTTTCTGCTCATCCACCCACCTCCAAATCTTCATTGATACGTTTTCTTCACTCCCTGGTTATTTGTTTTTGTTCTAACTTTTTACAGTTCTACAAGCATAAGGGTTCCTGACCCTTCCTAATTTATGTGCAAGATGTTTTTTTACATAGCTTTACGGCTTGCCTGTCTCCTAGGAGCTTCTTACGCGGGGAGGGGCGATTCCTTTCATTTCATTCAAAGAACGAGAATCCTGTGAGGTTGGCTGGGCTGAGAAAGAATGACTGGCCCAAAGACACCCGTTGAGATTATTGTTAAGGTGAATTTGAATCCGGGTTTCCTCAGTCCTAGTCCACCACTTTAGGCCCTACAGTGCACTAGTTCAGTTCATATATAAAAATGCATGTGGAAAATTGATATTAGTACATTTATATAACTGCTGTTGTTTTGAATGGGGCTGTACAGAACTTTTTTCCCCCAATGTGGTAATTTGTTACATACAAAAGGAGAAGGAATCATTTAACTATTCAGTTTAAAAAAAAACAGACATATTGTTTACTTCCACAGAGCTCTGTCATAGTTTCGGTTTATCATCTCCTTTTCTGTAAGGTATAAACTTGGTTTATGTATCCATAACATGTTCTTGTTATAGTATGTATGTATTATATGGATGACGGTAAGAAACAGACTAAAATACAGTTTAAAATGTAGTTTATATATAGAATCAGAAGTTGTGTTTAATTCAGCGAGACTCATGTTTAGCATTGCATTATAATTATCTTTGTAATAACAACTCTCTACATTATTTAACCATTTTTATTTTGTCCTTGTTTGTTTGTTTTCTATATTTGCATGCTGCTTATTCCCTAAAGCTCTGAGCGGCTAACCATCAGAAATATAATTAAACAAAACCCTCAATAAAAATAGATAAAATCTTATTTATTAAAAATAACAACAACAACAAACCCTCAGCAGCATCCCAAGGGATTAAAAAAATATAAAATCAATATATGATTATATGAACTCATTCAGAAGGTCATGCTTATGTATGAATCTGTAATGTTGCTATATACAGTCAGGTCCAGAAATATTGGGACATCGACACAATTCTAACATCTTTGGTTCTATACAC